TTCTCAACAAGGTGAGGCACGCCTTTACAGGCATGATCATTTTGACATAACGGTGCATGATCAAGAATGTGCAAAACTCCGATATGTTTGCCATAGCAGATTGTGTTTGTGTAGGGGTTATGTATGTATGTCATTTTGTGTGTATGTGTATGTAGCTGTGTATTTTGTGCTTGTAGTTGTGCTGCTCCAATCTTCAATGTTTGATATTGTCATCAATATGCGAGTAGGAGATTGGTGTCCGTGGGTTGGAGAGAATTATCCGGATATCCACGGGGCAGTGACTTTATTTTGTGGCGAGTCACGACCGCCACGTCACAGTGTTGTTAAGCAGATATTTGTGGCTTTTTATAGGGAGAACGCTTGCCAGGCGAAACCCACCACGTCCTGGAACACTGCCGCCGAACTATTTGCTGGAACGGGTTAAACCCGAACCACCCAGCTGACACCACGAGGAGGTTGTTCGGCTAGCCTAGCCAGTTTCACGCAAATGACGTTCATACGTATTTATATTACAGCGTTTATGCATTTGCAGGAGGGTCTCGAAATGTCCAGAATAAACGATTTATTTATTCATTTCCTTAATTCTTAGCTCAATAATACAACTTTCAATTCGCCAATGAGCATAAAGCGTGAAGCAGGATCGGTACGCTTTAGAACCAATACGCGAATATAAGGCCAAGCTCCGATGAGTGGAGAACACCAAAAGTAACGCTAGGAAAAAGTTATTAAGTGGGGCGAAACGCTATCTAGTGCTAAAAATAAGGCACCGGAAGATAGCTAGCTAGGGGAAAGGTGCGGTCGCGTGTGCGGAGAGCAAAGATGGCCGCGGAGCCGATGTGCGTCGCGCCGTTCGAAGGCGGATGCTATGTTGACTCACACAAACGCGAGCAACATTCAAACAGGCGAGCGGCTAATTTGCTATGTACATCGAGAAAATATAATTTTGTGAGTTTGTAATATTTTACGCAGCATGCGGCAGCCAAACCGGGGAATCGCCAGGTCACTACAAGCACACATTGACCTCTTTTCGAACTATATACATTAACTCCCGAAAAGTTGTTGCCTTGACTTTGCGCCCCGAGGTATAGCTTAGGTCCATAATAACATAGCGCTGTAGAGAGCAAAAGGGAAAAGCATTTGTATCAGCTCCTTCACCTCCACACACTGGCTGGATCATGCGTATGGAGGCTAAGATGTTTCCCGAGAGAAATGCACAGCGGCAGCAATAGCGGCGGAATACAGATGTCATTATCATGTAGTGCCCTGGTTGACGGTTATTAGTCTAATGCCCAATCTCTGGTGCTACTTTCTCTGCTTTACAAATGCTATAATGCTAGTTGTCTAGATTTCCACGTTAGTTAATTTCGGTAACGATAAACGAGCACTGATGTTGCACATAAAATAGCGGAAAATAGGCATAACATAGAAAGCTTCGAGCTAATAAACCCCACTATAGCTAATCGTAAAAGGACTTTGACACTGCTAAGCACGTATGGCAAGCAGACAATCAATCAATGAGAGCCAAGGCTTCTGGTTTCCATTGTGAGATCTCAGACGACGATACTGTCCAGGTTGCCTGGGATAAATTTAAGTCCTACCTCATAGAGGTCTCTGCTCCCTTCATACCAGTCACAAGGAGAAAGGAGGCCCGAGCACAGCCGCCCTGGATAGATCCCACTGGCAGGCATCTGCTCACAATGAGGTCTAGATGTTGGCGGACTTACCGATACTTATGATAGGTACCGTAAAGCTAGAAACAGGTGTAAGCGACACCTAAGGGATGCTCGGCTCAAATTTGAAAAAGGGTTAGCGGACGATGCTTCAGAGAATCCATAAAGATTCTTCGCTTATGTCAAAAGGCGCTGCGCTTCGAACATGTCAATTCCAGTGTTGATGCGTGATGACGGTACTCATGCGCATAAGGATTATGACAAGGCCTGTGTACTCAGTGGGCAATATGCGGCCGCGTTTGTAAGGGAAACCTCTTTGACAGGCGTTGAGCTGGTTTGCAGGACCCAGAGGGTTCAGAACTATCTGAATTTATTGTAGCGGAGACTGCAGTTCGTAGGCTGTTACAAGGGCTGAACCCTTCTAAGGCCTCTGGGCCTGATTTAATTCACCCGAAACTGTTGCATGAGTTGGCTGCGGAACTAAGTGGACCGCTCGCTATTGTGTTTCAGAAATCGCTTGACAGTTGTGCATTGCCTTCCGAATGGAAGGAAGCTGTCATCTGTCCCATCTTTAAACATGGGGACAGGGGTCTGCCTGCAAATTACAGGCCAGTTAGTCTGACGAGTGTAGTAGTCAAACTCCTCGAGAAACTGGTGAGCGATTCATTGGAGAGTCATCTGAGTAGATTTAATCTACTTAGCAACGTACAACACGGATTCCGGAAGGGATTTTCGTGTCTGACGAATCTGTCGGTGGCTCGCGAAAATTGGGCGGATGCAGTGGATAACGGCCACACACTGGACGTGCTTTTCGTCGACTTTTCGAAGGCATTTGACAAGGTACCCCATTTGAGACTCGCGCAAAAGCTATCCTCTTACGGGGTATCTGGCCGCGCCCTTCATTGGGTGACTGGCTTCTTGGAAGGTAGAGAACAGTGTGTACGGGTAGGCCGGGGCCTATCATTTAGGCAGTCTGTCCTCAGCGGCGTGCCGCAGGGCTCGGTCCTTGGACCGCTGTTGTTCTCTATCTATGTGAATGACCTACCCACGGAGCTTGTACCATCGCTGCTATTTGCTGCTGATCTGAAGCTGTGGAACATTGTTGATGTTCCTGGGGGTTCCGAAGCTATTCAGCGAGCATTGGATAAGCTTTGGGACTGGTCTACTTTATGGTTACTGCCCATAAATCAGGCAAAGTGCTCCGTTCTTCGAATTGGAGGAGGTTGTCCTCCTGCGAAGTACTTGGTCGGTGGGGTCGAACTTCTCCGTGTATCTAGCCAGGTTGACCTAGGCGTCGTACACTCTTCGGCTTTACACTCCGGCGACAACTGGAAGAAGGCCGCAAGCAGAGGTTTCCGCATGTTGTGGTTAATCCGACGTTCTTTCGGAGTCTTGACGAGCGGCATCTTTACAAGGCTGTTCTCGGCTTTCGTTCGGCCTCATCTGGAATACTGCGTCCAGGCTTGTCCTCCCTGTCTCGTCCGGGACAAAATGGAGCTAGAGAGGGTTTTACGAGTGGGTACTAGGTTAGTCGAGGGATTACGGGGACGGACGTACCCCGAGCGTCTATTTAGTTTGGGAATGCATTCAATGCACTACCGAAGGCTTAGAGGAGACCTAATCCTAACCTACCGTATCTTAACTTGGATGGTTGATCCATATTTATCTTGGCTATTCAGTCCCGCTAGATTGTCTGTTCTACGCGGTCATTCGTTGAAGCTGGACAAACCGCGGTCCGATCGGCTTAGGGCGGAAATCCGGCTGTCCTGCAAAGTCATCGACCGCTGGAACATGCTTGCGGAAAGTGTTATCAGGGAATCTACGGTTAAGGGGTTTGAGCGGCAACTTGACGCTCTTGGGTGGCAACACGAAACCTTTCCATTTTCCTGAGTAACACGCATCTTCGTACTTCGATTTTCTTTTCTCTACTTTTCTTCACGTATTGGTATTATTTTCTTATTTAAGTGCACTTCCCTATTCTGTACCTTCGATTTCTCTTCCTATCCTTTGCTTACTTCACGTGACTGCCACAACAGAGACTGCTAGGGCAGGAAACGTAGGCATTAACTGGTTGGCCAGTGTGCGATACGGGTGTTTCCGTTTTAGATCCATCAATAACTGAGCACTTCATCAATTCCTGGCTCAACGATCCACTCAAGATGGAACACTCACGGGATTCTCCTATCGTTCCAGTCCCCATCTGAACTGAACTGAACTGAACTGTCCTAGTTTAAGCTGAAATGCGCTTAAACTAAACCGTGGAAAGACTGTGCAACTGAGTGCGAAAAAGCTAATTTGTTTTTGTTCAACTCAATTTATTATACACCAGAATATAACACATCTGGTTTTATAAAGCCGCTAGTGGTCATTTTTCTTTTCACGTTTTAATGCACTGGGGCGCCATCTTGGTCTCCATCCTTTGACGTTGCGTCTGCAATGGCTTCCTGCGGTGTTCAGGTTTGTACTTTTTCATTTCGCATTGTATCCTACTTTTAGAACCGCAGGATGTTGAAGCGTTTAATGCGTGTCCGCAAGCAGAAGATCGCCCATCTCGAGCGGCACAGCCCAGGCAAGTTGCTTGACCGCCATTTGTTGCTTAAGGCACTCATCACTTGGCGGGCTATGCGTGACCGTTCGCTGCCACAGAACTCGTGGTGTATAGTCGATCCACCTACGTCTGATATCTTTTCTTGGGATGAGGATTGTTCCTTCGACAGCGTCTCTAGTCTCTCAGAATACCACGTCCATTCTGACTTCCAGTTTTCCACTCCCTCAGTTGCTGACACCTCTGATACTTGCTTAGCC